GCTGCACTCTCTTTTTACCTCTGCCTCTTAAAACTCACAGCATCCTCAAAGCATAGCTCAGGTGCTACCTATTATAGAATTTTCCTGATACCCTCAATTGTCAGGGTTCTCTATTAAAATTACTTTGTATTTTCATCTATGAATAAGAGAAATACAAATTAAAACAACTCTGAGTTTTTATTTCACAGCCATTAGATTAGCAAAGATAAAAAAAGATCAAATTGTAAATACTGGAGAGACTATGGGAAGTTAGGACACTAATGCCCTGTTGCTGAAGCTATGAATTGGTCCAACTATTCTGGTAAATGATTTGAAACTATGGAATAATACTAGAAAAACTAAACTATACACAACACCATTTGAATCCCACCACTGAACTTATATCCCAAGGAGATGAAAAACAAAGCTAAAGGTTCCTGATACACAAAAATATTTATAGCATCACTTTTGCATAGTGGATAGTGAACTGACCTTGGAGTGGAAAAGACCTGTTTTAAGTCCCACTAGGGAAGTCCCTTAACTTTTCAAAACAGTTGTACATCTGTACTAGATCGAGTTTCTTCACAAATTTACTAGGGGAGGTGGGGACTGGAAGTAAAGTGAATGCCCATCAATTAGGAAATGGACAAACAAGCTATACCACATAAAACAATGAATGTAAAGAATTCCAAGACACTTAGAAAGATTTGTATTAATAAATAATTACATAAACTGAATTAGGAAAATTACTTAAACAATGACTGCAATAATGTAAGGAAAAAGTGAAAGACATCAGGAATCTGATCATGCAGTCCCCAATCTTGATTTTAGAAGACTGACTATTAAGCATGTCTCTCTTCCCTTGAGAAAGAGGTGGTGGGCTATAAGTAAAGAATGAGGCATACAAAATGAATTGGTTTATTTTCATTAGTTATACTTTGTTACAAGAAAGGATTCTATGGGGGCAACGGACCATTGGAAAATCACAGCAAGTTTTTAAAAAAAGCATAATTTTTTATCTTTTATAAAAGTATCTTTTAAAAGAGAACAAATTTATTCGTATACATGTTGTATCCCCTGTGGCAGTGGGCAATAATCCCAAACTGCTTCTTGATATAAAAGTACACCTAGCTAGCATTCATAATTTCTTGATATTATGTAACTATGAATTACAGAAGAATCAAAATTGCAAAGGGAGGGAAAGATATAAGTAGGCTATAGCAGATTGCTACTGCACATAAGAAGTGGCAAAAATGTAAGCATCTTGAGGATGGGGATAGTTAATTTTGTCTTAGTATATTCAATGCCTAACAGTGTCTTGAACTGTTGAATTGTATTATTGAATGTACATTAGAACTATCTCAATAGGTTGCCTGCCCATGTTGTTTTCCACTCCCGTATTTCTCTGACCTTTGTATTTGTTTAGGAGAGTCTGAGACTTGAATCATTATGCTTGACTAGAAAATACTAGTTTCTATTTAACTCTTTAACTGTGCATCCCTACTAATTTGTTCCCACATGGACCATATGTATTCTTCAATCATTTGGTTATTCTTATGTGGATGACTAGGTCAAACTCTTTTGAGCAGATCTTCGTCTCATAAAGAGTCCCTAAAGGGTTCCAGGGTTCCAGGGTTAACTGGGCTCCAGGGTTAACTGAATCTACAACCTATAAAAAGAGCACATGGAGAACCTCAATAGCTATAGGGAACTTGTCTTCTATTTGGAGTTGGCCTCAAACAGCCTCCATGACACTTGTAAACACTTTTGGTAAGTGTATAGCTCCCAAACAAAGAGACATATTCATCCAAGGGTTCACATCATTAATTATAATAATGTATAAGTAATTTATGTTTTGGCTATTTATTGCGAAGTTCACTTAATTGGTATAGTATCTCGCTGTAACTTTTGTTGTTGTTGTCCATTCAGTTAGTTGTATTGGACTCTTTGTGACCCCCATGGACCATGGCACACCAGGCCCTTCTTGAAATCTGTCCAAGCTCATATTGCTTCCATGACACTATCTATCCATCTCATTCTCTTCTGTCCCCTTCTCCTTTTACCTTAAATCTTTCCCAGCATCAGGGGATTTTCCAATGAGTCCTGTCTTCGGTATTTTAAGTTTCAATTTCAGCATCTGACCTTCCAGTCTGAGTTAATTTCTTTAAGCATTGACTCATTTGATCTCCTAGCTACCCAAGAGACTCTCAAAAGTCCTCTCCAGCACCACAATTTGAAAGTGTCACTTCTGTGGTGCTCGGCTTTCCTTAGAGTCCAACTCTCACAACCATACATTTTTTTTTAACTGGAAAACCCATAGTTTTGGCTATATGGACCTTTGTTTGTAAGGAGATACCTCTGCTTTTTATCATGCTGTCCAGATTTGCTATAGCTTTCCTTCCAAGGAGCAAACTTTTTTTAATTTCACGGCTACAGTTACCATCTCTAGTGATCTTTGAGCGCAAGAATAGAAAATCTGACACTGCTTCCATTTCTTCTCCCTCTATTTCCTAGAAAGTAATGGGACCAGTTGCCATGATCTTAATTTTTTTAATGTTAAGCTTGAAGCCAGCTTTTTACACTCTCCTCTTTCACTCAATCAACGCAGTAACCAGCCTCAAACATTCATCTTTTAAGCTGTTTCCCAGACGTTCTTAAGAGTTTTATGTTTCTCCTGTGGCTGCCCACAGCATGGATGCTTGCTCAGAAGTTGAATTCAGGCTGTTGTGCACTTCCCCAAATCCAAGGGTACAGTTTTACATCTGAGGAAGACCTGGGAGAGCTGCTCTAGGAGTGATATCATTCAGAGTATTTTTTAAGTCACATTATCTGGATGAGTTAGGATTCCTTAGGGCTCTTCAGTGGTAATTAGAATTTAGGAAGCAGCTGTGGTGTAACAGAAAGGCAATGCACTGACAATCAGGAAATCTGTGTTCTTATCCCCAGCTCTGCCACTAACTAGCTCTGTGGCCTTGGAAAAATCATTTAGTTTCCTCATAGGGTCCCTTCCAACTCTGAAGTCCTATGAAACTATTCTATAAAATTACATGGGAAACCTAGAACTACAACATTTTCTTGAGTTTCCTCATGTTACTTCAAAGCAACATGAACTTGGAGAGGACAGTGTGAAGTTGCTGATTTTATCTGGTTAAGTGGTTAATTGGTTTAGTGACCTATTTGCTTGTGTATTCCAAATACTATCTCTAACAGTTTAGAAAAGATTGTCTTGAAAATGGTTTCTTTCCATTTTGAAAGTCTCTTACACTAAGATATTTGTGAAGTACCTTCCATATGCTTCCACCTTGCACTCTTCCTCTTCAGGGGAGTGACTATCAAAAGTGTGCTCCATGACATTGGCAAAAACATTTAAGGCAGTTCACAGATGGGCTGCTGTGGTTTGTTTTGTTTTTTGTGGTATTCATGTTTATCAGTTTAATATGTATATGTGGAATGTCTTCTATGTGTTAGTAGACCAATCTAGGCTTTAAATAGTTATTATTTCACTGCAGGAATGCAATTTACAATACAATCATCCTTATACCCTGTTTTTTCCCCTAACACGGCAATCTGTTTAAGAAAACTCAAATAGCACTTTATATCTTATCAAATACAGCTCCTTTCTTCCCATTAATTCTAGTGAGGGCTTTTTGTTTTGCTTGTTTAGCAGCATAAGGACATTTGAGATTTTTAGACAGGTTGGATGGTAGTCCATTAAGTTAATCCATTTTTATCTGTATCTTGGACAAGGTCTACAGATGGCAATAAGCTGAAGCCAGAATCAGGTAGGAGGAGATAAAGCTGGATCACACTAAGGAAACTGCACACAGTTTTCAGTAATCCTAAATGGCTCCTTGCTGCAAAAGTCCAACTCTCTAAGACCATTAACTGTCTGGCATTATCTGATTATAACAAGTGGATTACCACAGTCTAATAAAAATTAAAATTGTAAAGAATGAAAAGACTTCTAATGGGTTTAAGCAGGCTATAGTATATTACCATTTACATAAAAAGTGGCAAAACAACAAAAACCATAATAAAGGACATGTGTGACCTGATAAAGAAGTGAGCTAGTTATGGAGCAAGAATGAAGGACAACATGGTATACCAAGTACATCCTTGAAATATTTTAAAAGGACCAGAAGAAAGACATCCAACACACTAAGTCAATCCTTTATGGAGGATTAATGGAAAAACAAGGACAAAAATCTTTCTTGTAGAGTTCCTCTGTATATGCTTGTCACTTCTTAATCTCTTCAACTTCTGTTAAGTCTCTACCATTTTTGTCCTTTATCATGCCCATTTTTGCATGAAATATTCCCTTGATATCTCTAATTTTCTTGAAGAGATCTCTTGTCTTTCCCACTCTATTGTTTTCTTCTATTGCTTTGCATTGCTCATTTAAGAAACCTTCTTAAAGAAACCTCAACAATAAGGCTAGTGGAGGTGATGGAATTCTGGCTGAGCTATTTAAAATCCTAAAAGTGCTGTACTCAACAGGTCAACAAAGTTGGAAAACTCAATAGCGGCCAATGGATTAGAAAAGATCAGTTTACATCTCAATCCTAAAGAAAAGTAATGCCAAAGAATGTTCAAATTACCAAACAACTGCGCTCATTTCATATGCCAGTTATGCTTAAGAGCCTAGCTAGGACTTCAGCTACATGGGAACTGAAAATTACCAGAAGAGCAGGCTGGTTTTAGAAGAGGCAGAGACTAGAAACTAGAGACCAAATTGCCAACATTCACTGGATTATGGAGAAAGCAAGGGAGTTCCAGAAAAACATCTATTCCTACTGCATTGACTACACTAAAGCTTTTGAATGTGTGGATTGCAACAAAATGTGGCAAGTCCTCAAAGAGATCGGAGTACCAGATCGTCTTACCTGTCTCCTGAGGAACCTGTATGCAGGCCAAGAAGCAACAGTTAGAACTGAACATGGAACAACTGATTGGTTTAAGATTGGAAAAGGAGTACAACAAGACTGTATATTGTTACCTCATTTATTTAACTTATATGCAGAGTACATTATGTGAAATGCCAGGCTGGATGAATCAAAAGCCAGAAAGAAGGTTGCCAAGAAAAATATCAACAATTTCATATATGCGGATGATATTACTCTGATGGCAGAAAATGAAGAGTAATTAAGAAGCCTCTTGATGAGTGGGAGAAAAAAAGTATAAAAGCTGGCTCGAGGCTTAACATTAAAAAAGCTAATATCCTGGCAACTGGTCCCATTACTTCCTAGCAAACAGAGGGAGAAGAAATGGAAGCAGTGTCAGATTCATTCCATTGAACAAATGAACAACAACAAATAACGAAGGACAAGAATGACAAAGAAGCTATGTGGAGGTTGTGCTCTACACCAGTAACTAGACATCCATGAGATCACAGATCCATCTTAGTATCCAAATATAAGGGTATGAGCGGCATGGCCCAAGGGGTCTTCAGGCCTGAAGAATGGTCAATGGATAAGAAAGGCTAACATCCTTTAGATTTTTACATCTTCAAAGCAGATCTATGAAGGAATTAGCAGTAGTCTTCACGCTGCCCCAATGCAGAAGAGCAGAGATGAGAACAGAAGTTGCTCATTCCTAGACAACATACAGAGGAAATCAGAGACTCATTCCACCATATTCTTTTCTAAGCACCCTCCCCAAGTAAGGAAAGACAGGTGAGAGAAATAAATACCAAACTCACGAGCACTTCAAGGTCCTTCCATTAATTCTGAAGGCTGCTAAAGAAAAAAAAATAGTAGGTAGCAAAACAAAGAAGACATGCTCTCTCAACTAGCAAGTTCTTCTTAAAATCCCTTCCTTTTCGACATAGTGTCAGAGTTCATGATAACAAATCAGTCTTTAGCCCTCAGCAGGCAGAAGTTAAAGCAGGCTTGTCAGATTAACCCTTTGGCTCCTAAGTAGCTAGTTTTTTTGTTGCAAGTGGTCATCACACTCTCTATATGTGTTAACTACATATAGACAAATATCTTTACAATTCTACAAATAATCCTTCGGTGCTCTAAATCCTCAGAAAATTTCTTTAGTTTTTCCCCTTGACTTAACATAAGACAATATCCAAAGATGAGCCAGTGAAGTATAGTGGGCAAAGTGTGGCATTCCTAGAGTCCAACACTGTGTTTTCCATCTGCTTATTATCTGTACAACTTTGGGCAAATTCCTTATCTGGAAAATAAGTGAATTGGACTTGATAACCTCTAAGGTTCTTTCCAGATATAATTCTATAATCTCTAATTTCATAAATATAGGGAACTCCCAGGCTGGTCCTTCCCTCAACTGAAGCAGATTACAATTAGTCTGTATTTAGTGGGTAAATCCTAAGGAGTTGGAGGAAAGAAACAGAGGCAAAGTCATTTGTCTAGGGTCACAATGTGGTGACTAAGTTAATTCAGAGTAATAAATGCACTCAAACTTCACTTCCTGGTTGCAGGATCCATTCTGTGGACCATCTTTATGGATGGAACTACCTTATAATGTAATTTTGGTGTATTTTAATAACTTCTGAACCCCTTCGGATGGGTTCCAAGATCAATCATTTTATTCTATTTCACAGCTTCAGAGTAAGATTCCAAATAACCCAGCTTTCTCCTTAACTAATTAACAAAAACATAACAACGCATAGTTAAACACTAATGTAAATAGGTACTGGGGATAGAAAAATAAAACATTTGCTCAGCATGTACTAAAAACTCCTGACAGACACTGACTTTGTTCCTCTACAAACTGCAATGGGCCATCTACACTACCTGATCCTAAAGAATGATGTCTTCACTCCTCTCCAGCTCCATCCCTGACTTTCTCACCATGCTATGCCTCCTTCTCACACCAGAGGTATACTCTGGCCCTATCGCCCCTCCTGGAGCCTCCATTTAAAGGACAGTGCCCAGGCCAGTCGCGTCTTCACTCATCTCCAGATTCCACTGCTGACTCTCCACCCTTTGCCTACCATGGCCCTACCTGGTTTACCCTTGCCCCACCTCAGCTTCTTTTTAGGTGTTGTCTTCCCCCCCCAATAAAATATAAGCTCCTTGAGGGCAAGCACTATCTGTCTTTCTTTTGCTTCTATTTGTATTCTCAGCAGGCTTGGCATAGGAATACAAATATTTTATTAAGCACATATAGTAAGCACTTAATAAATGCTTGTTGACTTAACTCAAGTAGATGATGATTTTCAAGATATCAGTTATAGGCAAATTTTTTCCCTCATCAACATTTCATCTCAAAAAAGAAAAAAAATTTTTTTTTTTTGGTTATGGAGAAATCAGGGTTAAGTGACTTGCCCAAGGTCACACAGCTAGTATGTGTCAAGTGTTGGGTCTGAGGTCGGATTTGAACTCAGGTCCTCCTGACTTCAGGGCCAGTGTTCTATCCACTGCACCACCTAGCTGCCTTTAAAGAATATTTTTAAACAGAATTTTGCTTCCATACATTTCCAGAGCATTCTCTATGATAACTGGTATGTGGCTGAAGTTCTGACATAATTCTAATGCCAACTAATGTTGTTTTATTTTTTTTTACAACTGACAATAGCCATCTAACTTTTCATTCACAGTTAGACTGTACTGAGATATATACATATATATATATATATATACATATATATATATATATGCACACCATGGATTATTGCTTAAATATGCCTATTTAAATGCAAATTCTACCTACATGAGCTTAATTTATCCTAATAAAATTAACCTTGTTTTTCTTCAATTCATTCTTGTAATTTACAACATTTTGCATTTAGCTCCTGAAAGGCTGGAAACTATCATGAAGCAGGCAAAATCTGGAGGCTGACCTGTACATAAAAGAGGTTTTCTCATTATAAACAGAGTGTAGTTATTTTTAAAACTAGCATATTTTCTCACACAAACCAATTCCCTCACACCAAGAATATTCCAGGAAGTTTATATACTATTATTAAACAGCTATGGAACTGTATAATCTCAATTCAAATAAAAGCTACTATATATTGTACTGAATTAGGTTACAACAGGCTGGGGTTTTTTCTCTCAAGGTAGAAGAATCATTTATTTAATTGTCCTCTCTTATCCTGTAAATGTCTTTATCCCTTTTTATAACATGTTTCTGAAATACTGTTTAAGAGTTCTGATCTTTCACTTGTTTATTTCATAAAATAATTCTGGCTCAAATTTCCAAATAATTAGGAACCTCCACAGGCTCTGAGGTGTTTTTAAGTTGGAAGTAACTACAGAGGTCATCTAATTCAAACACAGTTTATAGATGAGGAATCAATTTCAAGTGGAAGAGATCTCAGAGGTCAGCAAGCCATAAAATCGTAGCTGAGGCATTAGAAGGGACCTTAAAGTTCATCTAATCCAACCCCTTCATTTTACAGATGAGGAAACTGGGGCCCTGGGAGATTAAACAATTCGCTAAAGGTCACACAGTTAAGTTCAGAGGTGGACTTTAAATCCAGGTCCTCTTTCTACTGTACCACACTAGTCAAATCCATCCCTGAGCAAGAATTCCCAAGAGGACATCCTCCAATATAATGGAACAAGTGCTGGATTTGGCATCAGAAGAGGTAGTTTCAAATTCTGGCTCCAATAGTGTGACCATGAGCGCCAAATACCTCACCTTTAAAATGAGGACAGTAGTATTTACATTCTGTATTTATAATGACTGTCATATAACACTTTTGCAAAGTTCTCTGCATAATAAACTGATCTCTACAACAATCCAATGAGCTAAGAACTGTATTATAATTTCTATTTTACAGATAAGAAAATTGAGGTTCAAGGAAATACTTCACTAGGTTCTTGCAAACTTTAAAGTGATATCTATCTATCCACCTATTTTTTTATTCCTGCCAAATGATTATCTAGCCTACACTTGAAAACCTCCCCAAGTGTTTCTTTATATTCGAAAGAAACTTGCCTTTAACTTTTATCCATTGCTTCTATCTCTTTCCTCTCAACTCAAACAAGTTGAATCACTCTTTCTCATTGAGTAATGAGCCATTTTGTATGCTCATGCACATGACTCTCAACGTGGAAGGTTATTTACGTCTATGCATCCTAAGGCTTTTTTGTGAGTAAGCAAGAAACCTTTTGTAGAGGCAGGATCCCTGATGTAATGTTAAGATTAGTGGATCTGGAATCAGAAGGATGATTTCTAATGCTGTATTACTACTCGGTGAGGTCATTTATTAAGCTTCTCCAGATCTAGATACTCATTTGTAAAATGAAGGCGTTGGAATAGATGCCTCTACGGAAGAGAGAGGTTCTTAACGTGGGATCCAAGAACCTGTATTTTTGAATTATTTTCATAAACTGTATTTCAATACATTGTATTTCGTGCATTTAAAACCGTTTGGAGAAGCGGTCCAAAGGCTTCAGCCAAGGGGTCCGGGACACACAAAAAAGTTGGCCTTTTAACCCTTGGCATAAGGTCTCTTTCCGAACCAACTCCACTGATTCTATCCATGTATCTTGGGCCCTGGAAGCACCCAAGACTCTTCTACCTAAGAATCAATTCAATTATTGAGCGCTTGGCCCTACAATGCTCTGCAATGAAATGAATGAATGAACGGATGGATGGGTGGGCGGATGGATGAATAAATGAGTTTGTGAACGATGCACACACAGTGGAAGGGCCAGCCCTGCCCTCAGAGAGCTCACAATTTGGGGCCCAGACTGCATCACATTTATTCCTCGCGGGGCCGGTGTCCGCAGGCTCCACACTCTCCAATCCACCCTATATTTGGCTACGGAGCCAAAGGCCCCGGCGGGCGGCTCCGCCAGGGGGCGGCCTCCTTGCAATGGCCCTGCGGCCCACACCCCTCTCTCCCTTTCCTTCCCCTCTCCCCCGCCCCGCCCCGCCCGGCCCGGTCCAGAGCGCGCACGCGCACCTCCCCCTCTACCAGACTCTCCCCGACACCCCCCTCCCGCCTTCGCCCCTCCCCGCCGCCCTCAGGCCCGGCCTGTCCCGGGGCTTCCTGCCCACTAGTCAACGGGTCCACAGCCCGGCCAGAAGAGAGGGCGAGGCAGCCCCTGCCGGCCCGGGGCTCTCTCGCTCTCACCGGCAGGTGGCGGTGGACGTTCCCAGAGAGTCTGGGGCGGCTGCGGCCTACCAGACCAGCTCCCTCAGCGTCCAAGCCCGAGCCGTCACCACCCAAGCCAGACCCGCGCCTCGCGGGGGAGCGCGCGCGCGTGTTCTGATGCCGGCCGCGAGCTTCTGGCGCCGGACCAACCAGGCTTGGGGGAGGCAGCAGGGGCGGGGCAAGGGCGGGGTGACGTCACGGGGCGGGGCTCCACTTTTTTCCCCAATCTTTTTGAGGTGGGATTGGGGCCTAGAAAATAGCAAAGTTCTTTACCTATATTATCTCACTTGAGTCGATTATAGTCAGTCACTCACCCAAGATCACACAGGTGGTTTCTAAGTCTATAAAACAATATGCAATCAACTAGCATAGTAGAAGTGCCCGCTATGTGCCAAGCTTGGCACGAAGCACTAGGGATACAGTCCCTGCCCTCAACAAGCTCATGATCTAATGGGAGAGGCAACATGCAAACAATTATGTGCAAACGAAATAAATTGAAGGTTATTATCCCCATTTTGCAGAAAATAACAGTAGTGACCATTGCTAGTATTTACATAGCACTTTAAGGTTTGCAATGCGATTTAAATGCAATTGGCTGCAGGTGTAGACGCTGAGTTCATGGGAAATACAAGCTGGGTTTGCTGCATCATCAGTCCCACGCTTTAGGCCAAGCTGCCTTCTCTTGTTGCACATAGGTTACTAAAAGAAGAGAGTCAAGATGGGGGAGGGGTTTGGAATCCAAAAGCTCCCAGTAAGCGGCTTGTCTTCCCTACTTACCTCAGTTTCCTCATCTGTAAAATGAGGATGGAAGATTTTCAGCTGGAAGGGACCCTCACTTTGCAAAGAAGAAAAGTGGGAGAAGTCAGCTCTGCCCCAGACCCTTACATCTTTTCACTGTGATTTTTCGGAGGGAACTCTTAGAACACAATGTATTGTATTTGATATACTCACCTGTAAAACAGGGATAATATATACTTGTATTACCTATCTGAGAGGGTTGGTGTAAAAATTCCAGCCAACCCAACAAACACATATAAAATGCTCCTTGCTAGGCCCTGGGAGTGTAAAGATAAAAAGGAAATGGTCCCTTGCTGTCAGTGAAGTAGCTAGGTAGTCCAATGGAGAGCATGACGGGTCTGGCTGGAGTCAGGAAGATCCTGAGACACCTGCTAGCTGTGCCTCCCTGGACATGTCATTTCATTTCTGTCTGCCTCAATTGAATCAACTGATGTATGTAACTGAATAGTCTCAATTGTGAAATGAGGATAATAATAACATCTACCTCCCAGGATTGTTGTAAGGATCAAATAAGATATTTGTAAAGCTCTTTGCAAACCCTAAAGCATTATATAAATATTAGCTATTATTATATTTGACTGATCCAGTAAGATAATGTATATGAAAGGGTTTTATAATCTTAACCTTCATGTACATGCAAGATTTATTATCAGGCAATTCTTACTGTGCCCTTGCATTGACACCCATCTTTAATGTGCATAAACCATCTGCCATCATCTGAGCTTCCTGAAGGTCAGCTTTGACTCATCCTATACATTTTTGCATACATAGTAGATATCTGGCAAGTTTCTCCTTGAGGATGCTAGTGTGGTCAGCCGACTTCTAGATTTAGACCAGCTTCCCATCCTAGAATGATAGACATGGAAGGGAATTTAAAGACCACCTTTTACAGATGATGGAACTGAAAACTAGAACGATGCAGAGACTTCTGTAACCATGCTGGTTAGTGACTGAGCCATGATGAAAACCCAGGTCAGCTGATACCACTTCTGTCTGTGCCTGTGTTATTTGTAGGGCTCCAAAAATGTAGCAAAAATAATATTAATGAAGATATTGATTTTAGCCAAGTTAACAAGCTTTTATTAAATGCTTACTATGTACTAAACACTGTGCTTTCATCTTTTAGATGAAAGAATACAAGATGTAGGGGTGTCAAATCTTGACATGAGTAGGGAACCGGAGTGGTACCGGGGAAAGAATATCAGATTGGAAGTTGGAGAACCTGGGTACATATCCTGGCTCTGTCACTTACCACCTGTGTGACATTAAGGCCAGTCACATTTTCTAGGTCTTTGTTCTTGCAAAATGAAGGAGATGGATTATAGGGCCTCCAAAGTCTCTTCAGGGTCTACATCTATGCTCCTATGAGGATGAAATATGCCTCATCCCTCACTAGGGAGGGTCGTGGACTACAGATACTGAGTCACCTGATGTTAACTGTGGTCAACCTGGTGGTCTTTTTTGCTTCTTTGTTATAAGGGAGAGGTCTATATCAGGGGGAATTGATGGTGACATTTGAAAAATCCCAGAAAGTATCACTACATTTTTTAAGAGAATAGTTTTTTTTGTAAAGGAGTCTATTGTTTGACAATTTAAAAAATAAAGTTGTATGTTAATCCTCCTGAATTTCATTGAATCTGATGAGTTAGCCAGCTGATTGAGCCTGGTTCTGTATGGTTCATGGAATTCCCAGAGCATGGTGCCTCAGACATCCAAACCTTTTCCCAGAGGCAGGATGAAAAGTGACCACACACAACACCTGAAACTTGTGCTTGACACTGAAAACCTGTATCACAACTCACAGCCCTTTCTGAAAAAGGCCTCTTGTATTATATTGTCAAAGGGCTTGTAGAGAGACCTTTCAAGGTGTATTAGATTACCAGAGAACCCCAAATATCTCAACAAGCCACCTGAAGACTTCCACCACTGGCAACATCCAATGCTCTCCACAATTCACTATTCATTCAGTTGTTCTTGTTTGCCCACCCCACCCCAGCCCTTAAAATTCCTAGGCCTCTTTGTCTGATTTCTCCTTTGACACTCCGCCCCGACCCAGTACTTTTTATTATTCTTTAGTATCAACCCCACCCTCCCCACCCCCAACTTAAACACCTTGAGGGGACAGATTTTTTATTTTTCTGGCACTTAATACAAATTTATTGAATGAAATTGATTAATTCACTATATTAAGCACCTACCATACCAATGTAATGTATAAGGTCCAGTAGATACTCAGCAGGACTCAAGATGTGTGAGATAGTCTCTGACTATCCCCTGAAGTATTGGTCAGTGTAAGTTCTTAAGGTTCCATGTTTGTTTCAGAGATGTCTACGGATAATGCCTTAGAACAGAGGAATAATAAGGGTGGGGTGTCTGCAATACTTCTCCTGGTGGTGTCCACTTTCGGGCCACATAACCCCTTCTCCAACATACTTTTTTGCCTTCCTTCCTTCTTGGTTGGTTGAGGCTTTGAATGAAATTTCAAAACCCTAGAGATGATGGATCTTAGGCTGATAGTTTTTGCCTCGATAATTTTAGGCATGTTAGTGAACTTAAACCTCATTTCATAGGCGCTCCAAAATAAATTGATTGAACTATACCCTAAAGGCTTGAAAGACTTTTTGGACCTCTTCCTCACAGGGACAACTTGTTTCCCTGGGGAAGGCAATTAGTCTGAAGTAGGAACTAGGTCAGAGAAGGTCATTCAAGGCACTAGCCACAGAAGCAGTAACAAAACTGAGGGGGCAGAGAAGGAAGGAAGGCTAGGAGAAAAATAAAGAACCGTAGAGACCCAACTTAAAGTTACTTTTCCATACTGAGAATCACATGTTTGGGCCCCTGAGAGCAAGAACACCTCTTGCAAGAAAATCCCCTCTCAATATTTCAATTATATAATAGGTCTCATTCTTAAAATTCGGCCCTTCACAAATTAGTGTAAGGGCTCTCACTGACAGGAATTTTAGATCCATGGACATAGATCCATGAACAAAAGGATTTAAGGGTTCTTTGCTGTTTCTTCATTTTTAAATTATTATTATTATTATTATTATTTTTTTTATTTTTGGCTAGGCAATTGGGGTTAAGTGACTTGCCCAGGGTCACACAGCCAGTAAGTGTCAGGTGTCTGGTCTGAGACCAGATTTGAACTCAGGTCCTCCTGACTCCAGGGCTGGTGCTCTACCCACTGCGCCACCCAGCTGCCTCTGTTTCTTTATTTTTTAAAGAACTTTGGACCACCACAAGTCAGGAGACCTGAACACTGGTCATAACTCTGCCACTTAATAACTATATGACCTTGTGGAAGTCACTCTTCCTGATCCTGAGCTTCTTTGTCAGTAAAATAGGAGGACAAGGTCTTACTAAATGATTGCTTCGGTTCCTTGTAGCTCCAACATTCTATGATCTAGGAACTCTGTTTCAGACTCTGGACTATATTGTTGCTTACCACTTGTCAAATCTGTTTCCTTTGAGCACCTCAGTGTTTCCCATAAGATCATAGAATTTAGGACTGAGAAGGACCTTAGGGATCATCTAATTCAGTAGTATTCCAAATGTGATCTGGGGACCCCGGAGGTCTCTGAGAGACTTTCAGAAGATCCATGAGGTCTATTTTCATAATAATACTAAGACATTTTAATTTCTAATATGGTAAATATCAACCCATGTCAACAAAAGCTCTTTGGGGTTCTTAAGTTTTAAAAATGCAAATAAAGGGGTCCTGAGACCCAAAACATTTGAGAACCACTGATATAATCTAATGCTCTCATTTTCTAGGGAGAAGACCTGAGGCCTAGAGGGGTGAGGTTGCTTTCTTATGGCCAAACAGCTAGTTGGTGACAATTTAGAAAATCGAATAACATTGACATTCCAAGGAAAAGCTAACAGGTACCCAGTGCAAATATGATATAGTTCAGTTAACAAAGCTTGTAAGTGGTTCTGTCAGCAACATCTGTCATTCCTTCATCCAGAAGGTTACTGAATTCCTTCCAAAGCGATAAACCTCTCTCCCCTCTCTCCCAGACTCTGGCCAATATCACTTAGGAGCCATTACCTCACACAGAGACCTGGCAGCTTCACATGAATACATTACCAGACTGGATTAGCTTCCATTTCAGGAGATAGGTGGTTTGTGCTTGAGGGGGAAGCTTTCCTGCTGCTTTGGGGAAAAAGAGGAACTATAAATCTGCTTCCAATTCTTCACATTTCAGGCAAAAAGATGGCTCTGACTTGTTTATACTTGTAAGAGTTTTACATGCCAGAGGTAGCACAGGACACATTTGCAGCTATTTC